AACCCAGTTGTTGCTTTAACAGCTTGAACTTCAGCAATCTTTAACATATCTCATGCAGCAACAACTTCTTCCATCTGAGCTTCATAAGTTGCAGATTGTTCTCTTGCTTAATCTAACATAGCAGAGATAATCAATTGTGCCCCTCTGAATGGATCCCTCTATAACAGCTTCATCATCCACAACCTTTCTCTTCCTGAAAAAAGGTACCTCAATTTCCTCTTCTTCCTATTCCTCTTTCTCTACAGATTCAGAAGGAAGAATCATATTTCTCAACTTCCTCTTCTTCACAAGTGCATCAGAGGTGACAAAAGATGAATATTTCTTCTGAGAAGTTTCTCCACTCTTTTTCTTAGTGGGCATCAAGCTAGTGGAGGACACTATCTCTTCGATCTCCTTCTGAATTTCCTTATGTTGTATAGCCTTTTTATTAAGAGGATTATGGAAAATCTTTTGAGCATTATAAGTAACTTATTTTATTTTCCTAGAAGATCTATACACATCAGTTGGTTCTTCTAGTAAGTCCTCAAAATTCAGAACAACACCAACTTTTTTTCTTGCCATCTTGATGAATTCCCTAATCACCTTAGGATTGTCATGCTTGGTAATTACTGGATAGTCTTCAAGATAGGAAGATTTTGTACTTCATACTTTTAGAGCTTCTTCTGAAAAAACCACTTCATTCTTCTTCAGAAGCTTTACGTTCCCATGAATTTTTTCCAGATCATCATGAGCAGAAGTGGCTTTCAGAGAGTCAATCAGACGACCCTAATGAAACAATTCAGGCATGAACCTGGAATAAGGTACAGTTTTCTATTTATGCTTCTTGCGCTCCTTGATAGTTTCACACAGATTATGAAAGATATAACTATGCAGATTGATGTTCTCTTCATTGACCAAATACCAGATGAAATATCAGTGATCCCAGGAGATTTGATAAGTATTACCTTCTCTATGGATTAAACACCTAATACCAGATGAAATATCAGTGATCCCATGAGATTTGATAAGTATTCGTTGATAGCTTCACATAGATCATGAAAGATATAACCAAGCGGATTAATGTTCTCTTCATTGACCAAATACTAGATGAAATATCAGTGATCCCAAGAGATTTGATAAGTATTACCTTCTTTATGGATTAGAAACCTAAAAAGGATCTTGAACATAAGCTTTTCAGGGGTCTTCATGTTTTTCACATTTCCAAAGTCTAAAGAGAATGATGTATTTTATGATAACTCAAACAACATTGTTTTGATAACATCGACTTTTGGATTATTTTCCTTGGTGTTCAGAGTGTACCTTCCAAAATTTGACACACAAAGAAGCTTGGAAACTATTTTTTGAGTGATGATGACATCAACTCCGATCACAATAGGCCTTATTTCTACTTCCTCGAACTCTTTTAGTCATATTTCCTTTCTACTCTTTCCTCTCAAAGAGTTGTCTTTAACAACCTTCTAATTTTCTTCAATAGAAGCGGAAAACTCATCATATATTTCAGTTTTAACATATAAGTCCTTAACTAGATGAGATTAGATTGCCCCATTCAGCATATCAAAGAATGAAGCCCATTCTTGCACTTTGAAGAAATTCTGGAGGGGGTAACCATTTAAATTAAATTAATCAAAATCAACAATGTGCTCATAATGAGTTTCAGATCCTCCTTCTTGATATTAATGGTTCTGGGTTTAATATACAGACTTTTACCATATTCGACATTCATGGGTGCTTGCTGAGAACATGATGATGAAGCCATTGCAGAAGGGGTTTTAAAGTTTCTTTTGAAATGGGTAGTTTTTTAAGAAAGCTTGAGAAACAAAATTGGGGTTTTATGTCGAAAAACCAATCTTTTCTACCATTCATGTGTGATGAGCATCCTCAGTACGAGCACCATTGTTCCTTGAATATTTCTTCATCTCTTGTTGCGACCCTTACTAAAATCTATTCTTCTACATGCTTTTTCATTTTTGCATCATTTTCTTGATTCTTTTGTTTTTCAGGACAATCACTAGAGTAATGACCGTATTTCTGACAATTGAAACAATAAATGTAACTTTTGTCAGGTTTTCATCCACCATCTTTTCTTTTACATGCAACAACACCTCTGGGGTTGCTTTGGTATGAGGGTCTTCTTTGATTCGACGAGTTTCCTTCTTGCTAGTTTTCTCTACCAGACAAATTTTTGTAGCCTCCTCTATCTTTGTTGTCAAATCATTTTCCTTTTCCTTTCTTTTCTTTTACTGATTGTGCATGTAAAACCACATCACTCTTTGACTTACTTACAACTCTTTAAACCATTCTTTGTTCATGAGATTCAAGCGTCCCTTGAAGTTCTTTCTTTGTTATTGTTGACAAGTATTTTGATTCTTCTATGACTACTACCATGTGATAGAATTTTGGAGCCAATGACCTAAAGATATTTGCAACAACTGATCTTGATGTCAACACTTCTCCACATACCTTGATTTTATGTACTAGTTTCGTAAGCCTAGTGAAAAAATTAGTTACGCTTTCACTTTCTCCCGTACGAAGCAATTCATACTTTCTTTTGTAAATTTATAATCTCTCATCTTTTACCTTCTCAGCGCCTCCAAACGATTTCTCCAAAATTTCCCAAGCTTCTTTTGTTAATTCAACATGACTCAACTTTTCAATATTATCTGGATCAACATATTAATGAATTATAAAGAGAGCTTTATAATATTTCTTCTTCAATTCTTTGTGCGCAACCTTTTCTTCATCCATCACATTTTCTGCAAGTGGCGTTACTCCTTCTTTCATAAGATCCCACATGTTTTGATAACACAGAAGAAATTTTTTATCTACTTACACCAATTATCATAAATCTTACCCTGCAGAATTGGAAGACTCGTGGAAAATGTGCGTTTGGATGATTCATCGCATTATGCTTCCCAAGAATCATACAAAACTTGGAGAATTTCGAATCAATCTTGATGAACAAGAATCATTTCTTCAGATTGATTCTTCCTCTTGTTCTTCACTCTTCACTCGAGTGAATTAACCACACCTTGGTTGATAGATGATTACGCTGCCTAAAAATTTGAGAAGAATGAGAAAAAATAAATAGGAAAAAAAGAAATTAGGGTTTAAGAGAGAAGGGGAAGATGGAGAATACTTTTGTAGAGTTTCTGAGATTGCTTGCACGTCAAACAATCTCTAACTAACCTAATTCAGCTAAAAATACAAAATAATGCTTATGTCTAAATTTATGTCGAACACATACTTCTTCAACATTTTAACAACTAAACAAATTTCTATACAAAGAACATTTCGACAACAACATACTTTGTCGAAATGGTACTTTGACAAAAAAAAAAATATATTCTCAACAGTCTTGATTCAAAATCAATAATACATTGATTTCATTAACAAGATTTAAGATTTTTAAAAAGAAACTCACAAACTATCATTCAATTGTTGAATCATAATTTTGAATCAACCTATTGAGTCATTATCATTTAACAAACTGATTTCACATTATAAATAAAATTAATGTCCTAAAATCACCAACTTAAAATCTAATTCCTAAAATATCCTATTTTTTGTTGATGTTTAATACTGAATGGACGAAGAAAAGCCTCCCTTTTAAATCTTATTCATTCAATAGGTGAACACTTTTTTATTATTTTTTATTTTTTATATTTTATGAATTAAATAATTTTTTAATAATACAATAATAATTTTAAATATAAAAATTTAATTTAAAAAGTAATTTAATTTTTTTAATTAAAAAGATAAATAATTTTTTATGCCTTATTTCCTTTCAATGGCTAAACTTTTTTTTCGTATTTAATAAAAATATTTATATATTATTATTATTATTATTATATTATTATTATTATTATTTCAATTGAATTTTATATAAAATAGATATTTTTGATGATTAAATTGGATTGTTTTCCCTCATAATTAATACATTCATTTCATTAACAACAACCTGAGGTTCACAAATTTAGTGTTACATTATTTATTCATTATCCATCAATGCATAAATTTACAGTTACAATGTTAAGAATGAATAGACTATTATTGAGTACTGATATTCTGCTGAGTCATTGTAACTCAATACACAAAATCTATGATACACTATTGAATACAGTTATTCTGTTGAGTCACTGTCACTCATCACACATATCTAGTAATATACTATTGAATACTGTTATAATGTTGAATCATTGTGAATCAACACACAAATCTATACCATTACATACCAGTACTGTTACTCTGAGTCATTGTCAGTCAATCAATAATTCATTAATTAATTTATAATTTTCTTTTCCATTTTTGAATCAATTGATGGTTACTCTTTCTAAAGTCCAGCTTTATCTATATACTAAAATAATTAAGACACTTTTTTCTACTTTATTTTGTTTGAATCATTTTTGTGAGTTTATGTTGCAAGAGATTGTAGTAATTTTAAGGATTGTGGGATTTGTTTAGTTTATTTTCATCACTGTATTTGATTTGCTATTAAAGTGCTAAACATAATTTTTTTTTCATCTTGCACTTATTTAAATTATTATTTGGTTATTATTTAAATAAAAGTTTTAATTAACTAATTCTCTTGCCTCTTTACTGCGGTAGATATAAAAAACAATATGTACATTTTAATCATACAGTCTCTATCATAAATAATACTTAATGAAATGAATATTTGAAAAAAAATTTATCTCTATCTTGAATAATACTTAATGAAATTTGACCATACTTTTGCAGTGACAAATAACGACTTGTTACCATTTTTTTTTCTAATATTTCTTGTTGTCGCTGTAAAAAAAACAAGTATATTGATTGGTAAAAAAAAAAAAGAATTTAAAAAACAAAAGTAGAGAAGTAATAAAGGAGGGTAAAAAAAAACTGAAAAAGTAGTTGGGACACTCTTACTTAAGTCAATATATTCATAGCCATAACATAACTGATTCTGAGAAGAGACATAACTGATAGAGAAGAGAGTGTGAGTGATATATCATATCAGCATAATGGTGCACCCAATAGCAGAGGCAAATGATCATAGCCCCTTCGGAACCCTCACTCCGGACGAGTTCTACGCTCGCCACTCAGTGACTCACCACTCCGAGTTTGTTACTAACCCTAGAGGCCTTAAGCTTTTCACTCAGTGGTGGATCCCTCAGCCTCCAACAAACCTCATCGGAACCCTCGCCGTCGTCCACAGATTTTTCGAGGAGTCCAGTTGGCTTATCCAACTAACTTCTGTCTACTTCGCTAAGGCCGGATTTGCCACTTGCGCCATCGACCACCAAGGCCACGGTTTCTCCGATGGTTTAGTCGCTCATATCCCTGACATCAACCCCGTCGTGGATGACTGCATCACCTTCTTCGAATCCTTCCGCTCTCGCTTCGATCCCTCGTTACCATCCTTTCTCTACTCGGAATCTCTCGGTGGAGCTATCGCGCTTTTCATCACTCTCCGCCGAACCGGACTGCCGTGGAACGGCCTCGTCCTCAGCGGCGCCATGTGTGGCATCAGCGACAAGTTCAAACCGCCATGGCCGTTGGAACACTTTCTCTCAATCGCAGCGGCGATTATACCGACGTGGCCCGTCGTTCCCACTCGTGGCTCGATTCCGGACGTTTCGTTAAAGATGGAGTGGAAGAGGAAACTTGCAATTGCGAGTCCGAAGAGGACATTGGCACGTCCACGCGTCTCGACGGCACTGGAATTGTTGAGGATTTGCAGTGAGCTGCAGGGAAGGTATGAGGAAGTGGATGTGCCATTTCTGGTTGTGCATGGCAGCGACGACGTCATTTGCGATTCAAGTTACGTGGAGGAGTTGTACGCACGGGCTAAGAGCAAAGATAAGACGCTGAATATATATGATGGAATGTGGCATCAGTTGGTTGGAGAACCGAAAAAGAATGTGGAGTTGGTTTTTGGTGATATTTTCGAATGGCTTCGCAAACGCGCCGTCGTGGATGGTGCTAATTAGAAAGAGAGCCAAGCTGTTAGACTTGTTTAAATTTAATTATAATATATATATATATATATATATATATATATATATATATATATATATATATATATATATATATATATATATATATATATATATATATATATATATATTTTTTTTTTTTTCTATTGTTCATGTTAAGAATAAAATGATAATGTTCGTGATTATATCATTATTATTATATTTGATTGATTATATTAATTTAGATGTAAAATATTGTTTTGGTAAGAAAAATTAGTTGCACTATTATTGTTATTTCATCAATTTTATTCTCTATTGTGCTTTTGACGGTTTGGTTGTGTACTTTGCTCGGGTTTAGTGCCTTCATGGTTAATATTTACAACAACTTTTTGATGGATTTTTCTGCAACATCTTATTATGATTCTGTTATATACATGTTTTGGTATAGAATTTAGTGTCCTAGTTTGTCCACATTTGATCCTTGTTGCAAGTATATTTTATGCCAATTCTTGCATAACTTAGATTGGAATTGAATTGAATTAATATAATTTGATATCAGTTGAAAATGATTCTAGAGACCGTGAGTTTTTTGGAATTTTATTTGGTTAATATATAATTGTATTTTTCACACTTTTACAAAATATTGGTGAGAAAATGTATCATCAATATACATCATTTGTGTAACAAAAAAGGGAAAGACATAGAATCAGAGATATTCAATAGAAAAAACATAGACAAAAATGTATCCTCACTATACCTAATTTGTGTTTGTTTTCATTTTTTGTGATTGTTTTCATTTTTTGTATTTCTTATAAGGTAAGAGTTTATATATACTTTTAATATTCTGATCTTTAATCAATGTCTCTAATATCCTAAACCCTAAATCCTAAACCCTAAACCCTTTTTAATCAATGTCTCTAATATCTCTCATAGGTAAGACTAATTACTTTATATGATCGCAGAAGGACTCATGGAGCCAAGAGGAGGACAAAATACTGGTTGAAGCTCGCAAGAAATTTGAGAACAAGTGGTCTGAAATTTCAAAGAAATTGCCAGGGCGCACTAATAACACCATTAAGAACCACTGGAACGCCACCAAGCACAGCCAAATTGCAAAGAAGAGGCGTAGCAAGCATAACAGTTTGATGTTTGAAGCGCAACCAAGCTTCAACAATGCCAATGTAAGTTCTGAAAGTGGTTTCCGTTCTCAAAGTTTGGCTACTCCAGGAGGTGAAATTGAAGGTTATATTCCAAAGATGGTAAATGGTGGTGATGATGGAATGGGAAATGAAGTTGCAGCTATGAATTATGATTATGGATCATATGCAATGGACTTTTTTTTTCTAAGGTTCCTTTGAAGTAGGAAATTGATCTCATGAAGATGTTCTATGTTTGTTACAAATAAAGTTGTCATGGATCTCTTATGTTTTATGCCCGTCTGTGTTTATGATGTTTTGTCACATCTGTTACAAATTGTTTATTCATTCAACATGTTGAGTTATTATCAATCAATATTGATGATTTTGTTGAAAGATTAAACTTGATTTGGGTCTAAACATATTATTTGGATTTTTGGCCTTAGTTATTTTGGACTTAGGTAATTTTAATTAATGTTTTTAGAAAACTCTTGTAATGTTTAGAGTGTCTAGATATTTCTTAGGGTTGTAATATTCTCTAGAATACTCTTGGAATTCCTAGAGTTGAGAACTCTCTAGAATTAGTGTGTCTAGAGTTTTTCTTAGAGTATTATAAATACTTTTGTATCAAGAAAAATACAAAGTTCTCTCTTCCATAAATAACTCTTCTACCTATCAAGTTTCTCTTTAAGCCTCTAATATTCCCACACACTTTTCCTAAACACAAAAGGTCTTATTTCCAACAAAGTGGCATCAGAGCTTGAAGGTCCTCAAAAGATGGCGAATGGAGGTTTCCCTTTTCAAATTCCGATACTCACAAAGAACAACTATGACAGCTGGAGTATCAAGATGAAGACGTTACTAGGAGCTCAAGATGTGTGGGATATTGTTGAGAAAAGCTTCAAGTAGCAAGATGAAGTCTCCTTAAGCCAGGGTGTAAAGTAGAAATTAAAGGAGTCAAGAAAGAGAGACAAGAAAGCTTTCTTCCACATTTATCAATCGGTGGATGAAGATACATTTGAGAAGATCTTCAATGCAACGACGACCAAAGAAGCATGAGACAAACTTCAAACTTGCAACAAAGGAGTGGAGCAAGTGAAAAATATTCGTCTTCAAACTCTTAGAGGTGAGTTTGAACGTTTATTTATGAAAGAGTCTGAGTCAATTTCTGATTATTTTTCTCAAGTATTATCCGTAGTCAATCAACTTAAAAGAAATTGTGAAGATGTTGATGAGGTGAAAGTCATGGAGAAAATACTTCGCACTTTAAATCCAAGTTTTAACTTCACTGTTACCAACATTGAAGAAAATAAAGATTTAAACACCATGACTATTGAGCAACTTATGGGTTCCTTACAAGCATACTAAGAAAAACAAAAGAGAAAAATAAAACAAAAGGAGACTATGGAGCCACTACTACAACTCAATGCAAAGGAAGCAAACTATGCGATTTACAAGTGTCAAAGAGGACGAGGTCGTGGCCAAGACCGTGGACATGGACGTAGACGAGGACATGAAGGAGAAAGAAGAGGCAGTTACAACAACTACTCAAACAACTTCAACAGTAGAGAAAGAAGTTGAAATCCACACTCAAAAAGAGGTCGTGAAAATGGAAATTCATGGTCAAGGTGCAACAAGTTACAAATCAAGTGCTTCAATTGCAACAAAATCGGTCATTATGCATCTGACTGTAGATTCTCAAAGAAGGTTGTGGAGAAAGCTAACTTTGTAGAAGAAAAAGGTGGAGAAGAAGAAACTTTGCTGCTCGCGTGCCAAAACCAATTTGAAGAGAAAAGAAACAAGTGGTACCTCGACACCGACGCAAGAAACCACATGTGCGGCGATCGAAGCATGTTCATAGAGATCAATGAAGAGACAATTGGAAATGTCTCATTTGGAGATGACTCAAAGATACCGTTCAAAGGAAAAGGTAAAATTCTCATACGCTTAAAGAATGAGAGTCATCAATTCATATCCAATGTCTACTATGTTCCTAACATGAAAAATAATATTTTGAGCTTGGGACAATTATTAGAGAAAGGATATGACATCCACTTGAAAGAACATAGTTTTTTCTTAAGAGATTGTAGGTATAACTTGATCGCTAAGGTCCCTATGTAAAAGAATAGAATGTTCCTCTTGAACATTTAAAATGATGTGGCAAAGTGTCTCAAGGCTTGCTATACCGGCTCTTCGTGGCTATGGCATCTATGATTTGGACAACTCAACTTCGGTAGTCTAGAATGTTTGTCAAAGAAGGAGATGGTAAGAGGCTTGCCTAGTATAAACCACCCAGACCAACTATGTGAAGGATGTCTATTTGGGAAGCAATTCCGAAAAAGCTTTCCAAAGGAATCAACATCAAGAGCGACAAAACCACTAGAGCTCATACACATTGATGTCTGTGGACCAATCAATCCAAACTCTTTTGATAAGAATAAATACTTTCTCCTCTTTATTGATGATTATTCTAGAAAAACGTGGGTTTATTTCTTGAAGGAGAAGTCAGAAGTGTTTGAAAACTTTAAGAAGTTCAAAGCCCTTGTGGAGAAAGAAAGTGGTCTTTCTATTAAGGCCATGAGATCTGACCGAGGAGGAAAGTTTACTTCAAATGAGTTCAACAAATATTGTGAAGACTATGGAATTCGCCGCTCATTGACAGTGCCAAGATCGCCACATCAAAATGGAGTAGCGGAAAGAAAGAACCAAACCATACTTAATATGGTGTGAAGCATGCTTAACAGTAAGAAGATGCCGAAAGAGTTTTTAGCCGAAGCAGTGGCATGTGCGATTTACCTGATAAACTATTCTCCAACAAGAAGTGTACATGAGAAGACACCACAAGAAGCATGGAGTGGAAGGAATCCATGGATCTCTCACCTCAAAGTGTTTGGAAGCATTGCATATACCCACGTTCCATATGAAAGGAGAACAAAGCTCGATGATAAAAGTGATAAGTATATATTTGTCGGTTACGACTCAAGCTCCAAAGGGTATAAGCTCTATAATCCAAATAGTGGAAAGATTGTCATAAGTCATGACGTGGAGTTCAAAGAAGAAGATTGTCAGGGTTGGAGTGTTCAATAAGACAAGTATGGTTTTCTTCCTTATTTTGAAGAAGAAGAAGATGAAATGGAACAACCAATGATAGATGAACATATTACACCACCTGCCTCACCGACACCAAGGTTGGATGAAACAAGCTCAAGTGAGAGGACACCATGATTAAGGAGCATTGAAGAGCTTTATGAGGTTACCGAAAACCCAAATGACATTAACCTCTTTTGTCTTTTTGGTGATTGGGAGCCTCTAAGCTATCAAGAAGCTGTTGAAAACGTAAAGTGGAGAGACGCCATGTATGAAGAAATAAAGTCAATCACGAAGAATGATACGTGGGAACTTACTACACTTTCACGAGGATACAAAGCAATTGGAGTAAGATGGGTGTACAAGGCGAAGAAGAATGCAAAAGGAGACTTGGAGAGATACAAAGCAAGTCTGGTGGCAAAAGGCTTTAGTCAAAGACAAGGAATTGACTATGATGAGGTATTTTCCCCTGTTGCTCGTCTTGAAACTATTAGACTGATCATTTATTTGGCAGCCCAAAATGAATGGAAGATCTATCAAATGGATGTGAAGTCGGTCTTCTTGGATGGTTTTCTCGAAGAGGAAGTTTATATCGAGCAACCACAGCTGTCGCATCGCTGCGAAGACGGGCCGGTAATGACAGAAGAGTCGCCACCATTCATTATTTATCCCAAAGAGAGGGAAAGGAAACGATCGAAGAAAACCTACGAAAAGGGAATAAGACAGGTCATCGCAACCAAATCTCGGGTTCGGGAGTCGGTTACGCAAGGGGAAGGTATTAGCACCCCTCAC